CGCAGTCGATAACAAATAAAACAATCCTGAAGTCATCAGGACTAAGAGTCACTAAGCGTTGTGAAGGAAAAAAAGGATTCATCTTTCGACCTTCTCGTTACTTCCAAGTAGATGGGTTTGAATCTCTTTATTTCAGTAAAGTTTTGAACAACTCTCTAGGGAAAATATTTCCCTTTTCCGGTTTTGGACGTTTCATTGTTTTGTTTACGAGTCAGGGTCACAGTAGTTTTCCGGTTTTGCATTTCAGTATTATGCAAATTTTAGTTAGGAATCAACTACGGAAGTAGAGTTCGTTTATCAGTTTCAATACTCGCTTTAGCCGAAGCGTGCTTTTATGTCGTTTGTAAACAGTAAATTTTTTAAACTCAGGAAATTTTTCACCATAGAATGAGAGGCAGGAGCCTTATCCAGTATATTTTACGTGTTTCATATTTATAGCGATGAGACAATGGATGTAGGAGGGGAATTAACCCTGATGTTATTTAGTACGTGAATTTTCCCGTGCGTGACAAGAGATCGACCGCCAAATCTTGATTTGCTGAGAATGCAGGTGGTAACTCCGTAACAGGAGTTGAAAAATGGAGACCAGAGAATTGAAGAAACCTTCGCCCACGTCTATGAGCCATTTTGCGAGAAGTTTGTTTCTCGAAGGGTTTCATACTTCTGAAGCAACTAACGATGAATTGGCGTAATTAATTTTAGGAGTTTCATGTCATGTGTTACTGATTCCTCGTCGAACACTGTGCTAGACGATGTATTGCATGCAGAAGCACACATGGCTGAAGCTTGCTTGTTATTTATTTTTAAATCTTCCAAAATAAAGCTTGTATCGTGGTAATTAAGTTAACTCTAAGGTTACTGAGAATTTGACTACAAGGCGATCTTATTGCGCAGTCTACGTTTTCTCTTAGATATCCTATCTTGATACAATGCAATTCTTTTATGTTGAACGGTTCATAACTATGAGATAAAGGCCTTACCTCCGTGATCTTTCTCTCGTCTAAAGTTCAGCCTGATCACGTCAGCAAGTCACAGCGAAGCTACTAAATTGCTCCAGTAAGTGTACAGCGTCTCATAATTTGAATTGGGCGCTCATTTGGTTACAACCAATCACCATAAAGTAGTTGAGCGCCGTTTGGGTTTGGGAATTAACTGCATAAACGTTACTGTGGGCGGGTTCCCTTGCACGGCTTCCTCCCATTTTTTCAGTTTTTCAATCATATGTACTCCTCTTATTGTGTTTTGTATTACTTGAAATAATGCTGTCAGCCAAGGAGCGCGCTGGAATTTTTGCCAGGAGTTTATAATTCCGGATTTCAAAGGAATATTTATTCGGGTGAACGTAAATAATGGAACGAGAACAAACGGAAATCCAACAAAGAAACTTTGTTTTATGCTAATGTTACCGTTCTCCTATTACCGATGGCATTTTCAGTGACACTTCACCAAGAGAAAAAAGCCTACCATCAATAGCATGAAGTTTACGTTGGCATCCCGTAATAGTAAAGACATATATGCACAGACAGTAATTTGTCCCGTTCTTCGCCACAATCAACCTTAGTACCTAGCTTTTGAAATAACCAACTGAAGTACTCAAAAAGCACTCAAGAAACTAGACTCACTCTAGAGTGCTTCCTGAGTACTTGGTATCTGATGATATGCGCTGTTGGAACGTAAACGGAGGCCTATCATAATAAACAACGAACGTTTCCTTTACAGTTCAAATTGGTAAACTGCACTCCCCGCCAAATGAAAATTTTGAACTCAGGGGTATAACGTTGAAAAAAGGGAAGCTAAAATATGCCTGTAGTAATATGACCAACCTTTGCTAGTAAGCAACGCGACTCAAGCTTCAGCCGAACGGCGGGAGATTCAGTAACTGGGGTAGCTATATCTTTCCCACATACTCAATACGTAGGACAGGATCTTAGTGTTTTCATTGGTCAGTCATCATTTCGCTAGGGTTCATTCTGTCTGGAAACCAAGTTTAAAGTTTTTTTTTGAGACTCGATATCTTAGCTAACAGGCCCCGATATTTGTTGATGACTTGAAGCACTACAGAGGGGAGTTATAAAGATGCGGCAAAGTGGTTAGGCTGCGGTGTCATAACTGATCGATCACTATTCAGCTAGAGTACTTTCTGACTGGAACTAAAGTTGGAGGCGTCATTGAAACTCGATAGGTTAGTGAGCTGACCCCTATATGTGAGTTGATGAACTCGATGAGAGAGCAACGTAGTATGCTATTCATAACAACAGAACATGATGTGATCTTCTGGTCACAGTAGAGTAGTAACTTAGTTTACGCGCTGTTGAGCGTAAACAATTGCATTGTCTAATACTCCCAAAAGTCTGAAGAGCCCTTAAGTTACCTGACTAAGACTTCACACGCCAAGAAACCCTTATGCAAATTTCAAGTTTGACTTACTCTGACATTGAAACTAATATAATAGAACCATCCAGTGTTCATTCTTAGCTTAACAGGATTATAGATTACTCGAGTTCTTAAACGGTTTGATCTAAAGTCAACTACGTATTTTGTTAAAATGTTCCAAAATTGAGTTTTACACAATTTACAACACTAAACATTGTAGACTGATTCATGTCCGTGTTCGCATCCTCTTTCTTTAAATCAGAAGGTTATCTGCCACATATTCTGTGCATTGGACTGGGGTTGTGCCTAAAAAAAAAAAAAAATAGGAGCAAATTTATGAAGTGCATAAAAATTTATTTGAAAATGTTGCACGAATTCATTCGATAACTCGTTGAAAATTAGAATTTACTGATGCAAAAAGTTGCATATCATTTTTTACCAACTAACACAATTGGCTTTATGTCGAATAGTGGATCAAAAGTTCTAGAAATAGTAGTAACCATGTGTAACCGCGCACGAAAAACAATTCCTGCGAGTAGGCAGTTGAGTCAGAAAGAAATCGAAAACATTTATCGTTGGGTATCTCAACTCTTTTACTTGGAAAAATAATCTCTCCCTCAGATCAAAACGATTCGTTATGTACCAAACTGTCGTGCTCCTACCTTCAGGCCAATGATGTTCAACAGGATCTGTTTTGTTCTGATTATTAGCTACGAGGATATACTGGTATAACCAAAAAAATAATGAGAAGCACAACTGTACGATTGCCAAAAACCATCGATGTATCTTTCTGAAAACGTGACGAATAATGAGCATTATTCTCTTCCGACGAAAGTGCCAAGGACAGTTTCTTTCTTTCTTCTGTTGCAGTTCAGGTGATGTTCTCTTAGGGGAGACTGTAAAATGTGTAGTCAGTCACAAAATAGATGTCTGTTTCGTGCTGGGTCACTTGTGAATGGTCGCTTGTAATTGGTCACTTGTGGTTGATAGCATTGTTTGAGAATCTTGACTTTGATATAACGCATAGTCAAGCAATTTGCTACTCCGGTTCCACTGTTTTTAACTCCATTAAACTAGTCTTCAGAAAATACTCACACTGACGAGAATCGTGCTTCTTGTTACGCTTGGTTAAACCAGTACATCATCAAATGTTGCCGGATATCTTGTATGTGTGACCTTAGCAACATTATGCAAATTGTTTTAGTTAGTAAAAGTGCTCACGTGAGAATCCTGCTTCTTATTACCGCTTGGTTATACCGGTACACCACCAAGCCGACTATATGTTTGCATAGATTATCGCCAGAATGCATCATCTATCTTTGTCACGTCAGGAAAAAAACATTCCTTCTAAGCTTTGAACGAAATCGTGACTGTAGTTAGTCAGTCACGCTGCCGCAATATTTTATTAAGTAGTTTCATAGAGCGGTGGACCAGTTAGTATCTAAAGGGTCACTATAGTTGGATAGGGAATAGATACCAGAGTAAACAAATGTTCAAAGGTATTTAAAACATGCAGAAGGAAGAGGAACGGTTACACGAAAAATCTAAAGTTTAGAGGTGAGCAGGGAGAAACATAAGTCTTTAAACACTGCCTTTGAGGCCATCACTCATTTTCCTTGGCATGTAAGTGCAATTTGTCGCTCATAGTAGCGAATGTTGTCACGATAGATGTTTTTTTCTGTCAACAGAGCTGCATCCCTGACTGACTATATGCAAGTTCACGATGCATTAGAGTATCTCAGCGTAGAAATGTTAGGGCAGAAATTGGCAACTGCGTATAGGTATTTACCAATTTTGAGGAATTCAACTGATCAAAGCTGAGTACTCGTTGACAAAGGGTAGGACAGTTACTTAGTAAGTGTCTGAGATAAGAAAAGAACTTGTCTCTTGAACGGACCTATATAATATTCATCCGTTCGTCTTACCCCATGAGTTTGATTTCTTAGTGTGCCTCTCTACAACAGCCACTCTGGAATAGAAACAACAACTTCCGTCGTCAGTGTGTCTTACAAAACAAAAGAAAGCAGAATACCGAGCAGACAAAGTAAACAGTTCGGCCATTGTGCAGAGTGTGCGACTGTGTTCTTGGAATTCGGACCAAAAGCTATTCTCTGTGCCTTACAAGGAGAAACTGTAGTAAACAACTTTCGCCAAATACCTATTACAAACAAGCTAACGAGGCGATCGCAAACAGCTTGTGAGTTACACTCCTAAACGCCATGGTAATTCGCTCTCTGTTTCTCTCACCGCACGACCCCGATAACTCTGACTGCGGAAGTTGTAGCAGCATGTAACTAAAGAAGACGAAAAGACAAAATCAGTCTCGTCCTTAAATTAAGAGTTTCCATTCCCAATGACAACGAATGTTAAGAATAACTGACGGCATATTAAACCTAGACTCTGAAAACAAAATTACCTTTAAAGTTCTTTAAGGGTTTCATGCAAATAATGCACGCGAGGCTACAATATCGACGTACGATATGCACTGATGCAGTTTCGAATTCACTTTCAGTTTGCCTTCAATGTTTGATAAAGTAAACGCGACATTATTTGTCTGATGCAGAAAATGTTCTACTCCTAAAAACTGGCTATGTTATTGGTTGGATAACAATTAAAGATCGGCATAC